CCCCCCCCATTTCTCTCTCCCCTCTGCCCCTGGCAACCTCTAATCTTCTTGTTTCTACGGATTTGCCTCGTCTAGACATTTCGCATAAACAGCAAAATACTCTATGTGGCCTCGTGTATCTGATTGCTTTCACTCAGGGTTCATGTTTCCAAAGTTTATCCTTGCTGTAGGATTTACCAATACGTCATTCCTTTTTATGGCTGCATGAGAGTCCACTGCATGGATACGCCACATTTTATTTCTCTGTTGTTCAGTTTATGGATATTTGCGTGGTTTCCATCCTTAGGTTATCAAGAGTATTTGTGTGCAAGTTTTTGCGTGGACATGTTTTCAAGTCTCCTAGGTATCCATCTAGGAGTGGAACTGCTCATGGAACTAACTCTGTATTTGGCTTTTCCAGGAACAGTTGATGGGTTTTCCATAGAAGTGGCATCATTTCACAGCCCCATCAGCAACGTACCGAGGGCGCCAATTCCCCCATCTTATCACCAAAAAGTACTTATTTCTAGAATCATCCTTCATTTTACTTCACCAGCACTTTCTCGGTCACATTGGTATTGCGGGCCCAGAAACTATTTATATTAAAGCAAAAACTTTCGATGTGACACTCATGTATTAAAAAGTGACTTCAAAGTACTGTTGCTAATGTTGCCTGGCACATACTAGACAAGACAGCACCACGACTGCTTTGCCTGAGGGGAGGAGGCGGGGGACTCGACTCACCATCACACCGTTCCTCACAGAATCCCAGGAGGAAAAGCCGCTTTGGGAACAAACCCCTGTCTTAAACAGAGAGCTGCCTGGAGTAGGTATAAAAATAGCATTTGAATAGCTCTTCACTCTGCATTTCACTTTATTCTCTCACTCGCTGTCACACTCTCAAGTGCAACCCCAGCTCATGGAAAACGCCGAGCCCTCTGCGCGCAGGCGCACACCCTCAGCCCGCCCTCCTCCCTCCGGCCCCGCCCCCACCCACCGACACGCCCCCCTGCCCTCGAACTCTGCGGCTGAGGGGCTGGGAGATGGGTATTTAAGGCGGACCTGCGACCAATCCGCTTGCGCCTCTCGGAAGCGGCGCTCCTCACTGGCAGATTAAGGCTGATGATGTAGTCATGTTCCAATCCGCGCTTTGGGGGCGGAGCTAAAGTCCGGAGGCGCAAGGCTGGAGGGGACCGCCTGGAGAAGGCACGTGACCTGGGTCTGGAGCCGGAAGCTACCTATCTGAAAGGGAGCGCCCCCAGCACCTAAGGCTGCGATGGTGAGTGAGAACGCATGCGCGGGAGTACGCGCCAGGGGTTCCACATCCCTGTCCCCCAATCTCTTTGGTTGCCCCCTTTTGGGCCTGCACTCAGCCCTTACCTCCTGTCCACCCCGGGACGCAGAGAGAATGGAGATGGGAGGGGAGGCGACGTAGAGGGCTGAGGAGGGATCTGTGGGAGGGTGTACGGACGCTGGCGAGTAGTCGGCGGGGGAGGGGTGGGCCACTAGGAGAATTGGAGATGGGGCGGGCCGATGGGGCTGCTGAGGCCAAGGGAGCCCAGGGTCAGAGGGTGAGGAAGATGGGAACCTCAGGCTCTGTGTTGAAGGCTCTGTAGAGGGGAGAGGGTCTGGAAGGACCCTGGCTGGGGAAAGGTCTGGGGGGCACTGTTACGAGAGACATGGGTTTGCAAATGAAGGGCATCGAGGGCCATCCTTGGCATGCTTCTCACCAATTGCAACTTTACCCACTAGACTTCTGCACTTACCCAGGGGCTGGAGAGAATCCCAGACCAGCTCGGCTACCTGGTTTTGAGTGAAGGCGCAGTGCTGGCGGTGCGTTGTGGGCAAGGGCGGGGGTCCCCCAAGGACACAGGGCCCAGTGATCCCTTTTAACATCGCCCAGTTTAGCCTAATTTGTCTCCACTCTGTTAGCTATCATGCCTGGCACGTAGTAAGCTTTTGGTAACTAATCAAATAAAATCTCTGGAATCATAGTCTGGGAACTTCTGAGGTAGAAGTTTACTATCTTTTCAGACAACTAGTTATAGGCTTGTTGATAACTGATATTACCCACGTTATTCTCGAATATGTTTTTATTTGGTATTTACTCAAGATCCTTTGTATTTTGTTTGTTCCGTAGTACAATACAGTGTTGGCTCTCTAGAAGTTTTTAATGTAGCTGGAGAGACAAGGCTTAAGGTTAAAAGCTGTTATAACTTACATTATGACAAGGAGACTTTCTTGGAGGAGGTGAGAATTCAGCTGGTGTTAAAAGGATGGATGGTTGTGAACAGGCAGAAAAGGAGAGTACCTAGGGTAGGAGTGGTAGGTTTGTGTTGAAGAGATTTGGAAAGGTTTGGAAGAAGAGAATATGGTAAGGAAAGATCTGACTGTGGAGGACTTTCAAGGCTGGATTAGCACATTTATGTTAATCTTGAGGGTGATAGGAGCTTTGAACAGAAACGTGAGCTGATGAAATAGTTAAGCAAGATTTTTCTATTAGGTGTGAAGATAGACGGGAAAGGGGGAGATTCAGAAGTGGTGAGGGCTGCTTTGAAAATCCAGGTCTGAGATGGGTCTGGTGGCAGTGAAGAGCAAGGAGAGAAGAAATTTTAAAGGAAGAATCAATATATCTTGGTAATGACTAGAGACGGGTAATAGAGATACTTTTCTGTCTAGTAAGACAGTGAACTCAAGTCTAGAATGATGGCACCATGGCAGATAGGAAATTAAGAAAGGAAGTTGATTGGGGAGGGGGTGAACTAAGGGGAATTTTGGTGACTTGACTTTAGACATTGGTTAGAAACAGAGTAAGAGCAGTTAGTATATACTGCTAGGAGCTGTTCTAAGCATCTCACCAGTGATATCTCAACATAATCCTCACCATGAGCCCATAAATAGGAACTTGTCCCAATTTACAGATGAGGATACTGAGGTACAGAATGTCACAGAGAGCAAAGGGCACTGAACTTAATCTAATTGGGAGGCCCATGTTGAGGACGTTAGGAGAGGAAGTTGAGACAAGCACCAGAAAAGAGGAAGCCTGGGCCGCTGTCACATCATTACCCAAGGGCTAGGTAGTAGGGCAGGCCTCAGGGACAAAGAGGATGTGTATGTTTCAGATTCTACAGACAGGGCAACCAGAGGAAAGACTGAGGAAAAGACAGAGCCTTGAACCAGTCAGTAGTGGGCGGGCACAGATGTTTGAGAATGTGGATTTATCAATAAGTGGGGACACAGGGAGAAATCAAGTTTCAGGGATTAGGAAAAAATGGTCAGTAAAGAAATGAATGAGAGTCCGTGCTCACTGGGGGAAGGCCCATGTTGTAAGAATGAGAAACAGGATGGCATCAAGAGGGGCAGCAACATCAGAGGAAAATTTCAGGTTTGTTTTTTTCCAAAAATGGGGGTATCCTTAGGAGTACCATAAAGTTGAGAGGTAGAATTATAAGTGCGAGAGCCAAAGTGACTGTTCTTGGAATTCTTTCCCGGTTCTGTTTCCTAATTTCTGCCCTTCTTCCTCCATCTGCATGCAGTCATCTGGGGATTTGGAGAATGATGAGCAGGCAGCCAGTGCTATCTCTGAGCTGGTCAGCACGGCCTGTGGCTTCCGGTTGCACCACAGCACGAACATACCCTTCAAGCGCCTATCGGGTGAGCCTCAGCCCCTGCCCCTAATGGTGGTGATGGGAGGGGGTGGGGGTTGCTCCCGAGGCTTCTTGGGGAAAAAAAAAATTTGTCTCCTGCCAATCTCTCACCATCTCTCTCTGAGATCCCTGGTTCTGGCCACTTTCTTCCATTTGGGATTTACTCCTGCAATCAGGAGAAACCAAGAGAAGGAAGGGGATTTAATGGAGCCCTCCTATCTTCAAATCTCTGAGCCTTGAACTATCACATGCCTTTGGCTTTTGATCCCACCGGTTTGCGTGACCCTGTAGAGGCCATTGTACCCCACTAACTCTGTGCTCCCTTCCCTCCCCCGGGTGGGGGAAGGTGTGTCTCCTCTCCAGTGGTCTTTGGAGAACACACGCTGCTGGTGACCGTGTCAGGACAGAGGGTATTTGTGGTGAAGAGGCAGAACCGAGGCCGGGAGCCTGTTGACATCTGAGCCTGCCAGAGGGCAAGGGGCAGAGGTGGATTGGGTCCATGAGCCTCTGTGATGAGGAAGACGCAAACCTCCTCCACCTTTTTCTTGGCTTGCTGCTAGAACTAAGGCTTTCTGCTCACCCACTGCCCCACCCCTACCTGGAAGGGCAGAGGCTTGGGGACTTTGCACTGTGTCAAGGAGAGTGAGGGCAAGGGGATCTCCCTCTTCCCTCCCTCCCTCCTAATAAACATGAGTTTGATGCTCCCAGGCCTAGGGATGTGTGTACGATGGGGGGTGAGGGAGGTTACACCCTGAGTCAGTCTTCCATCTTCTAGGGAGACAGTCGTGTGTTGACACGGGGTGGGGTGGGGGGGCGGCAAGGCACCT